AGTTGTGATATGAAATGAGGGCACGAGGTGCTAGAAAAATATGATAATTTAATTATGGGCACGAGGTACCGTGGAAATAATAAAAATAGATTGAGACCCGTGTTTAAGAAAAATATGAAAATGGGCTGAGACACGTATTTTTAAGATTATGAAATGAGATGTCACATGGTGAATTTTTAATTGAAAGAATTATATTCAAAATATTTATTTGGAAGGATTTTTACTTAGAAGGTATTATATGAAATAATTGTATTTGAAAGATATTTTTTTGAGGAAATTATATTTGAAAACATTTATTGAAAGAATTATATTTGAAAAATAATTATTTGAGAAAATTATATTTAAAAGAGAGTTATCTGGAAGAATTATATGTGAAAGACATTTATTTGAAGGATTTGATATAATTGGGTGTAATTGTGTTTATTAATTGTTGAGTGATATTAATGGTACTTGTTGTCTGTTGTGCATATAACTGGTCATTTTATCATGCCCTTATTATTATTATTTGTTTCCTATTATTTTGTATATTATATTGCACAGGTTATTAGACTAGTGAGTGTCTTGACTGTACCTCTTCTCTACTCCATTGAGATTAGTCTTGATACTTACTGGGTACCGACCGTGGTGTACTCATACTACACTTCTGTACATTTTTGTGCAGAGCCAGGTATTGGAGATATCGTACTTGAGCAGAGTTAAAGCAGGATCGTGAGGATTCAAGGTAGAGTTGCTTGGTCGTCGCAATCCCTTGGAGTCTTTTCATTTCATTGTACTATTAATTTATAATCAAACAATATTGTATATTCGGTCCTCGTGATTATTCCATGTATTCAGTTAGAGTTCGTGACTCAGTACTACCAGTCTTAGGAGGTTGTATATTCATATTTATTCCGCTGTTAGTTTTGGTTACTTATTTAATTCAAAAAAATGGCTTCAAAATGTAATAGAAATTGGCTTACCTAGTCTTAGAGACTAGGTGCCGTCACGACGCCTGTGGTAGAATTTTGGGTCATGACAACTTCTTACTGTACATGATTTATTGGACCACTAGTATGTGTCGATGTAGACCTCTCGTCACTACTTCTCCGGGGTTAGGCTAGATACTTACTGGGTACGCATTGATTTTACGTACTCACGTTGCACTTGCTGCACTTATTGTGCAGTTATATACATATGTTTGGTGGTCTTTTGGGCGCAAAGGTGCGGCCGTTGCGGGGACTTTACGATGAGCTGCATTCCATGTTATGATCCGCAGCATATAGAGTCTCCATCAGAGTTATTTATATTCGCCTGTCTAATTTGTATTCCATACAGAGGTTGTATTATTATTGTACTCCTTAGTAGATGCTTATGCACTTGTGACACCAGATTTTGGGATATGCTAGTTGATGCTTAGGGATTTATATATTATTAACGCCATTCATTCCTTTTATAAACTACTAATTATTGTACATTCCCGTGGATTTAAAAGCGTAAATTTCCTTCCTTAATTAAAATTATGATTTCAAAAGTAATAATATAAGTAATGAAGTTGATCAATCATCGTTGGCTTGCCTGGCGACGTTAGGCGTCATCACGACCTATAGTGGATTTTGGGTCGTGACAACAACCCCTCGCACTCGTGATGCCTAGGATTTTGATGAAAACTGGACAGTTTGCAGACTTAGGCCAAGATGTGCTTACGAAAAAATGGTCCTGGGAGCGTATTATGGATATGGCAGCCATTCGGTAAAGGTAAATTAAATGTGTCATCCATTATGTTTTACTCATTCTTCTGGTTTCTTTAATAATTAATTGTGTCTTTGATTAATATAGTGAAAGCAGTGGAGCATATTTAGTGAAGGTTATTGACTTCCTGCTAACTGATACACCGCTGGATCAACTTAATGACAAGCAAATGGAGTTGTTCAGGAAAAAAATTGCAGTTGATATCTTCAGGGGAAGGATGGACCCTTCTTAGTTTTATAATTGAAATTTCAAGTTGTGATGGTCATGGGACAAATTTATTTTGGGTGAACTTGTAGTAATTATGATATCTGTATCTACCTGTATGTAATGAAACTACCTTGTTGCTTATTAACTGTTGATGTTGTAATTTTTGTTTCCTTCGCACTTCCTTATTGTATTACAACAGGCAGCTACTTGGTTGCATAATAGACAATGTGTCTAGTAATAAACTAGCTACTTGGTTGTGTAGTAGACAATGTATCTAGTACTAATAACTTGATCAAATATAACATTGCATCAGGCATAACTCAGAGGTTGCGTAATAGACGATGGGTCCATTAATAAACTAGCTACTTGGTTGCGTAATAGACTCAATGTCGCGTTTAATAACTTCAACAAATTTAACATTACATCAGTACAACATCACATGATCCAAAATACTTCCAACAAAATAATGTTCTTCTTCTCACTTCATTATCCAAGACAACGACGCACAAGAGCATTACCCACTTATTGAGCCTCATTTCATTCATCTTAACCATCCCTCCAACTGTATAATTTACAGGAATATTCCCTCCCTCAATTTCAATCCCTCTATCATCATCATCTTTTTCATGAACATCCATTGCTAATATATTTTCAAGTTCAGTCACCTTCATCTGCAGAACGATCCTTTCACGCTTAAGAGCATCCTTTTCACACTTCAAACTACTGATAAGGTCAGCATTCCTTGGATCTAGTAGATCATCGTCCCATTCCCAAAATTGATATCTTTTACCCTATCGAATCAAATGGAAAAAATAATTTATTTGTAAAATAAAATCCCTAAAATTAAAAAGAGACGGATCTGTGGAATTCATCTTACCTTAGTTTTGGAACATTTTGAGAAACGCCGAATTCACCGAAGTTGTAGCTGTAAATTGACTTGCAGCCATGCCGCAGTAACAATTCTTTCTCGACCCAAAGGATGCACTCTACCCTTGACTCATTTTCCTTCAATTGTTTGAATAATTTGTTTTGGAAGTAAAAATTGGGGTTGAACTGTGATCAATTTTGTTTTGGGCCAAATGGGTTAATTTGAGCGGGTCAAAAAAATATGGTTGAAATATGATCAATTTTATTTTGATCACATGGCCGGTCAAATGGGTAATTTTAACATGTCAAAAAATGTATGGTTAGGGATAGTCCACGCGGACATATTTTAATTTACTGAACAGCACGAGTTGTCTTCCATCAACCAGTAGTCACTGATAAACTTCTTTAATAGTCTATAAACCCTGAACCCTAACCCCAACCCTGGACATTCAGCATAAATTAATAAAATTTCTTAATGGGCGTGTCAACTTGAGGTTTCGTCCTCAACTCTTATTGCTGTCGAGGGTAAACTAATGGTCGAGAATTCGCTAAAATAAGGATTACACCATGTTCGACCTTGGTTTTTTTTTATTTTATAATGTTTAAACATCTTATTAAACATCATGGAACATTTAAAGTTATTATACATAGCGGTGTATTTCATACCATTAAGAGTTGATCTTTCTAAAATATGTAACAACTCAAGAAGCAAGACCTCTAAGTATAAAAGTGTTGTCTAGTGAAGTGTTGTCAACAAGTAATGACTCTAAGTATGAATATTGTATATTGAATATTGGGCTGTAATATAAATATGTGTTGATATTACGTAATTCTATGATCGATTATAATAGGTATTTAGTCTTCAAATTGCATACATTGCCTTAACATTATGTTGTCATAATATTCATTGACTATATAATAAAAATTATTTTCACCAATTATAAGATTAGGTTGATACCAATATAATTGATACGTTATATTAATCTATTTTATACAATTCAAAGTTTGCAATTTGTTGAATTAGATGTTTATAACTTTAAGTTATTCACAAATAATTGTCATTTTTTGATTTAAAGTAACTAAATTAATATTTTACACTAACGAACAACTAATAATCGAGGAACTATCCCTATTTCTGATATACCGTTCTTAATTCTTTACTATGAAAGTCTATGGTTTACATTTACAATGGATCTATAAACCACCAGTGGGCTAGACTATATACTGTAGGTTTATTCAAAAACTGTTGTAAAATTTTCAATTCATTGGCTAGAAATTCAAATATTTGGAAGACTTAAATTTATATCCCCTGAGTTGTATGTTTATATTGGAACCTCTTTATTTCATTTTGGGGCCTTTTTGCACTTAAGTGTTGTTAAATAGAAAAAAAAAGCATAAAAATAAAAACAAGGCAACAAAATTCAAAAACATAGGGTAGAAAATTAAATAGACAAAAACTTAATATTTTAATTAAATAACTCCCCTCACAGCAGCATACAGTTTTTCCCATTAACTAAAGAAAAAAAATTAAACTGTATAGGGAGAAGGATCACGGGGAGAAAAATTTCCTGGGCTAACATAGTGGTCAGTATTTGCACCAGCCCTACAAAGGAGAATCCGTAGCATGCGTGCTATACGACGAATGTTCCTTTCGTACCTCACCCTGTCTTCTTGGATCTCTTGGATGAGCCTATCCACTGATTCCCTGATGAAAATGACGTCCATGCTTGGCCTTGGCCTCGGAGGCATTTCTCTGTTAAGTGATTGGGCTATTTGGAAGAATGATGAATAAATATTTCCATCAGATCTAGTGTATTTATAGGAAAAATTTGACACTAAATGGTGCCTTTCCATATGACTTCTCGTAAATGACGTGACTGTTGAGTGTTTTGAGAAACAAATTGTTGTTTTGCATCAGCATATTCGATATAGTTCAGTTAATTATACAATTCCTTTTCATATTAGCTGCCATCTGTTATTAACATTAGACATTAAATTAACTACCTAAATCAGTGGTTGTCAATAGATTACCTAAACCAGTGCAACAAGTCTTGGTTAAATTGAAAATATCGATTGGGGTTGACAATAGAATATTGGTTGATTACACGTGGTTGAAGATAGAATAAGGGGGTTGATCGTAAAATAGGAAATAAGTATGTCACATGACTCCTTAACACCTATTTTTCGTCAGGCAACACCTATTTTTCTTCTGTAGGCTCGACAATGGTTCCATCATATGCAGCCAAATATGTTAAAACCTTATAGAATGAAGAGGAGTGATAGTAAATGGAGGAACCATATCCATCCCCAAAGCTCAATCTCAGAGCTGTGATTGCATGTGGGCAGGGTATTTTTTTCAAATAAAACTGACAACAAGAACATGTGTTCAAATCCAGATCAACTATTGCATCCCTGCCGTGCCCGACGACGCTAAACTGGTTATTCTCTAATTGATGCACCTGGAGCGCATCGTCGATAACCATATTATTCCTAATTTTCTTTTCAGCAGAAGGAACAAAGAAGGTCAAAATATTTTTCATTTCTTTACGCTGCTCCTCGAATTTGTTTACAAACTTTCGAATAATATGATTGAACAGGCCAATGATCAGAAAGTTTCTTTGGTCCTTAAGCATTGCGTTAAATGATTCTGCAATGTTTGTTGTCAACATGCCGTATCGGTTTCCTGTAAATAAGGCCCTGTTCAACTTTTGGAACCCAATTTCATTCGCGAGGCAGTTAGCTACTTCCCTGCTTTTATCACGCAATTGTTGAAAATGTTCAAAGAATTCCTCAGTACTATATGACTGTGCGGCAGAAAAGAAATACTTAATAAAAATATCACAATGAAACCTCTTGCGCATATTTTCAGCAATGTGATGCGTGCAAAAATCATGATGAGCGGCGGTAGAAACTTTTTTGCAGCCATTCCCAATAGACAGATGCTGATCAGAGATAATGCACAATTCATCACTATCGTCAACAATGTGCCACAATTGTTCAAAAAAGTAGGTCCAAGAATCATCGCACGCTTTATCGATTATACAGAACGCAATTGGAAAAATGTGATTCTCTGTATCTTGTGCCACAGCAAACAATAAACAGCCTACATACCTGCCACTCAGAAATGTCCCATCAACAATAATAACCTTTCTCATATGCGTGAATCCCTTAATGAAAGCTCCAACAGATAAGAAAAAATATCGAAAATGCAATTTATGATCAACCTTCAAATCAACAATACTTCCTTCATTATCGGACAACATAACATGGCGATACACTACCAACAAGCATACCCCTGATCATGGCCTTAGCTATTTCACCTACCTTCCATCTCCTTCAATAAGTAAGATTTTGATTAAAATCTGCAAAAATAGCATCTTTCAAATCTGATGGGGATGGGCCTTTGCCATTAACTATCACGACCCAACTCCATGTTAGGCCGTGATGGCGTCCAGCACCGTTGCTGGACAAACCAACAGTGAACAACTTAGTAATTTTCCATTTTTGTTTATTAAGCAATTCCAACATTTAGCTTTACTTACATTTAAAGTATTTGATAAATAAAAGATTTTTAAGGCAAACAAACGGAAACATCTAAAAGCAGTTATAACTATTGAATTACAACCCAAAAATCAAAGTCTACTAATACGTGCCAAGATCTGGTGTCACAAGTGTGTGAGCAACTAGTAGAATATACAAAAGATGACTATCCTACTGGCCAAAACAGAATAGACAGATAAAAATAAAAGAAAAACTCCGGCATGCTGCTGAACGGCTCATAAGGGGCAGCTCACCATGAAGTCTCGGTCCAAGATCAGATATGCATGTCGGGTGGGTAACTAGATGCACCAGCCTCAGATCCTGTACAATTAAGTACAGAAGCGTAGTATGAGTACATAAATAATATGTACCCAGTAAGTATCCCGTCTAACCTCGAAGAAGTAGTGATGAGGGGTCGACTTGACACTTACTAGGCCAATAATAATGTAATAAAAGTATTATGCTAAGCATGGATATCATGAATGATACTGCCAGTTCAACAACAGAAATAGATAAGTCCTTCTTTCATAATTATAACTTAAATTTCAGTAATACCATTTAGCAACTTACATTTCAAGGCATTTAAGCAGAATAAATCTTGAAGAATTTCTAAATAATTAACATGCGCAATTATGCCGAGGTCGTACGGCCCGGTCCAACATAATATTAAATTGTGCACTGCCGGAGGGTCGAACGACACGAACCATAGATGCATCTATTTACTACCGAGGTGCTCAGCCCGATCCACAAGTAACAAATATTTTCAAGAAAACACAAGTTTCTCATTTACAGTCAAGTATCTCATACAAACCTTCAAGTAAGTGAATTTAACCTTATACAATTCGTTTATCAATTCCTATTATGACTAAGTGATTATATTAGTAAGTAAGGGCACAAACATTTCAAGTATAGCATGATACGGGTCCTAGACTACCCGGACAATAGCATAATAGTAGCTACGTACGGACTCTCGTCATCTCGTACGTACGTAGCCCCCACAATTAGGTACAAATATTTATTTAATTCACCTATGGGGTTAATTTCCTCTTACAAGGTTAGAAAGAAGATTTATCTCGTCTCAAAGCCTACTTCCCAATTCAAGAACGCGCTCAAACCTCCAAATTTGACACCAAACGACTCGAAACTAGTCAAACATTACATAAACTAATCAATCTATGCTCAAAAGTTCATAATTCCACCATTTAAGTGATTACCCAACCTAAATTGCAAGATTCCTAAAATTCACCCCCGGGCCCACGTTCCCGGATTCCGAAAAGTTTTAAAGAAAGTTGTTACCCATAACCTTAGGAACATAAATATATGACTTTTACTAAATTCCATAACGAATTTCGTGGTTAAATCTCATTTTTATCAAAAACCTAGGTTTTCACCTAAACCCATAATTTTCACTAATTTATATGTTATTACCTACCCATAAACCATGTATTTAACTCACATTGTGTAGAAATTACTTACCTCAAAGTGCTAAGTGAAATCCCCTCTCTAAGAGCTCCAAGAATCGTCCAACAATGGAAGAAATAAGCTAAAACAGCCTAAGTCCCATTTTTTTAAAACGTTTCTGCCCAAGTCTACCCTCTTCGCGATCGCGGAAGAGGCCTCGCGACTGGGAAGGCAAACGGCCCAGGCCCAGGAAATTTTACCCATCGCGAACGCGATAGGACCAAAACGAGGGCTTCTTCGCGAACGTGAAGAACGAACAGCGGCCACCCAGCTCAGCCTCTTCTACACGAACGCGGGCCATGTCACGCGAACGCGAGGCTAGAGGACCCAGACCTCCACAAATGTGGTCCTGCGCATGCGAACGTGAAGGGCAAAAGCTCCCTAGCCCACAGTACCCCAAATCCTTCATCGCGAACGCGAGGGTCTGATCGCGTTCGCGAAGAAGGAAACCAGAAGCAGAAATCTGGTGTGTTTCAACTCAACTCCGGGTGGTCCGAAATGCACACGAGCCCCTCGGGACCCCGTTCAACTACTCCAACAAGTCTATAAACATAATACGGGCTTGCTCGAACTCTCAAAATGCATAAAACAACAGCAAAACCAAGAATCACACCCCAAAACTAAATTGAATCAAACTTTGAACTTCAAGTTTCTAAATCGCTCTGAACGCGTCGAATGATACTTAGACTACGCTGATTGACACCAAATTTAGCGTGTAAGTCTTAAATGATATTACGGAACTATTCCCGGTCTTGGAATTCCATTCGGACCTTGGTATCACCAAAACCTACTCCAAACCAAATTTAAAGAACTTCAAAAACCTTCAAGAACCAACTTTCACTATTAGGCACTGAAACGCTCCCGGGTCACCAAAAACCCGACCTTCAAGAACTCGGCTGGGCTCTGAAATATCCAACCTCACAACTCTGTTAGCCAAGGACTGAATGTCCAAAGCTAGTGGCCTCTCCTCCGCTGAAATAAATGCCAAGCTACCCATACTCTATGACTTCCTGCTTAAGGCATCCGCGACCATATTTGCCTTGTCCGAATGATAAAGAATGGTGATGTCATAATCCTTCAGTAACTCAAGCCATCTACGCTGCCTCAAATTGAGATCCCTTTGCTTGAATAAATGTTGTAAGCTGCGATGATCAGTATAAACCTCACATGACACCCCATACAGATAATGCCTCCATATCTTAAGAGCATGAATAATTGCGGCTAACTCCAAATCGTGCACAGAATAATTCTTCTAATGAATATTCAGCTGACGCAAAGCATATGCAATAACTCGCCCCTCCTGCATCAATACACAACCCAAGCCAACGCGCGAAGCGTCGCAACATACTGTATACATCCCCGAGCCAGAAGGCAACACTAGAACTGGTGCTGTAGTCAAAGGTGTCTTGAGCTTTTGGAAGCTCGCCTCACAATCCTCGGACTAATGGAATGGAGCAGCCTTCTGGGTCAATCTAGTCAAAGGTGCTGCAATGGATGAAAAGCCCTCCACAAACCGGCGATAATAGCCTGCTAACCCCAAGAAACTCCTGATCTCAGTCGCCGAAGTGGGACGAGACCAACTCTGAACTGCCTCAATCTTCTTGGGATCCACTTTAATACCCTCTCCTGATACAACATCCCCCAAGAATGCCACAGACTCTAGCCAAAACTCACATTCGAAGAACTTAGCATATAGCTCATGTTCTCACAATGTCTGAAGTACCACTCTCAAGTGCTTCTCATGCTCCCCCAGGCTACGTGAGTAAATCAAGATGTCATCAATGAAGACAATAACAAAGGAATCAATATAAGGCCTGAACACCCGGTTCATCAAATCCATAAATGCCGCTGGGGCATTAGTCAAACCGAAGGACATCACTAGAAACTCATAATGACCATATCTAGTGCGGAAGGCAGTCTTCGGAACATCTGAGTCCCTAATCTTCAACTGATGGTACCCTAATCTCAAGTCGATCTTAGAAAACACCCTAGCACCCTGCAACTGGTCAAACAAATCGTCGATACACGGCAACGGGTACTTGTTCTTATTGGTAACCTTGTTCAACTGGCGGTAATCAATGCACATCCGCATAGTCCCATCTTTCTTCTTCATAAATAACACTGGTACACCTCAAGGTGATACACTGGGTCTCATAAACCCCTTTGCTAACAAATCCTCAAGCCACTCCATCAACTCCCTCAATTCTTTTGGAGCCATACGATACGATGAGATAGATATAGGCTGGGTGCCTGGAGCCAAATCAATACAAAAATCAATATCACGATCTAGCGGCATGCTTGGAAGGTCAGAAGGAAATACATCGACGAACTCCCGGACTACTGACACTGAATCAATCATCGGAGACTCTGCAGTGGTGTCCCGAACATAAGCTAGATAAGCCAAACAACCCTTCTTGACCATATGTCGAGTCTTTAGGAAAGAGATGACCTGACTAACTGTACTAACCGAGGAACCCTTCCACTCCAATCTCGGAAATTCTGGCATCGCTAAGGTAATAGTCTTGGCATGGCAATCAAGAATGGCATGATATGGAGATAACCAGTCCATGCCCAGGATGACCTCAAAGTCAATCATATCAAGCAACAAAAGGTTCGCTCTAGTCTCGTTACCACAGAACATGACCACAGAACGGGTAGACCCGATCCACAACCACATAACCGCCCACAGGAGTGGACATATAAACAGGAGTACCCAAGGACCAACAAGGAATATCCAGAAATTGAGCAAATAGAGATGACACATATGAATAGGTAGACCCTGGATCAAATAATACCGAAGCATCCCTACCGCATACAGAAATAGTACTTGTGATCACGGCATCTGAGGCCAATGCATCTGGTTTGGCCGGGAAAGCATAGAATCTGGCTGGAGCGCCGGCGGGCTGGCTCCCACCTGACTGAATAGTAGCTGACTGGCCTCCCCCCGCCTGGCCTCCACCTCTAGGACGAACCCTACCAGCCTTCTCTCCGCCTCTAGGCGGCCAGACAGCCGGTGCTGAAATCATGGGCTCCTGGCCCTGCTGCACTGCCTTGCCCCGAAGCCTGGGGCATAATCTCCTCATGTGACCGAGATCTCGGTGCGGTGATATGCTGCCCTGATGTCTGACCCTGATGGCCTGTCGATCCACTGAAA